AGCATGCCCCAGTCCCATCGTCGTTGGTCAGGATCGCGGTACTGCCCTGGAGCCGAGATGCGTACTTCCATGATCATCGGGACGTGGTCGATGACGGGGAGGGTCCGTAGTCGGTGTGAGGCATGCCAGCCCATGACCATGCGTGTGATTGCGAACTTGAGGCTGGTGGGGGCGACGAAATAGTCGATGGGCTGAGGGATCCGTGGTTCCCGTAGTAGCTGGGCCCGAGGTTCCAGTAGCTGTTGACCGCGCTCAACTCGTGCTCGAGCATGTCCGTGTGCAGGCGCTGGGCGAGGTCGTCTTCGGGGCCTGCTTGGTACGGGCCGATGCTGGCGTCGGCGCTGGAGTGGGAGCCGTGTAGACCAAATCGCAAATTCATGTCGCTGAACATGATCGGCACGGTGCGCTCAGGAGTCGTTGTGAATTGATGTAGTACCCACCGCCAGAGTTGGAGGCAGGTCTTCTTCCAGCAGTGGTGGTCCTTGGCGAGATGTGGGCGTGGTGGGAAGTAGGTGACGATGTAGGGCACTCGGTGTGGTCCACGTTGTACGTCGATGCTGCCAGCTCGTCCTTGAATGTGTGGTGGTGCAGACACGACACGTGTGATGTTCCGTTCGAGACGTCGTGAAAATCCGATGCTGCAGCCCGCGCTGGAGTTAGTGCCTGCTGCTCGCGTCCATCCAAAATGAATCCAAAGATGATATTGAGTCCTTTCTTTGTGATGTGGTGTACTTGCCCTGCTCCGTATCTTCGTGCCTGGGGCGAGAATCGCATCCATGTTGCGGAACTCCGCGCTGATGGCCTCCAGGCGACCCTCGTGGCTGACGAGGCTGAACGGGTTCCAGCCGACCATCGAGGTGCTGCGCAGGGGCTTGGACTGGTAGCCTTCGTCGGCGTCGTCGAACGCGGGGGCCGCCATGCCGAGGCACAGCGCGAGCGGCCGCATCGCCATGAATCAGGCCATCTCCTGGGGCGAACCTGCTGGGCGGAGACTAGGCGAAGAGTCGGCGGAGGCCACTGCGCCTGAACGGATCTGAGCAGTCCGAGGCCTTAGGCAACGACGACGACAACGACGACGGGGATGAGGACGATGAGGAGAAAGTCTCAGAGGGAATGAAGAGGATAAGGAGGAGTTGGAAGCGGAAGAGAAGGACGAGGAGGAGCAGTTGAAGGAGGAACAGACGGAGGAATGGGAAAGCCAAGGGGAGCCTGTGGTGAGGCTTGCTTCCTTGACCTTCGGAGTGTCTCCTTGTCATTGTCGTCGCAAAGTTCGATCCTTAAGTACGCGCATGGTGACACATGCGCACTTGCTATGTTGTCGAGGGCCGGGGCGCTGTAGAACCTGAGTGCGCGCGAAGAAGTGCGCGCCCGTCCGCACATATATGTGCAAGTTCTTTGTGCGGTTTGTTTGTTTTCGTGGGTGTGTTTTCTTATATGTACATCTACATACATATACGCATGCACACATATACACATTTTCATTGCTGTGTGTATTACGCATACACACATCTATTTACAAGACTGCATTGGCGCTTCGCGCCATGCGCCTTGTTCCGGACGCTTCTCGGAAAAACAATAAAATCATCACGTGTTTCAGCAGAGGGGGCGTCGAGACCACGAATACGACCACGATCACGAGGACCACCACCACCACTAGCACCAGCCCCACCACAACCACCACCACCACGACGACGACGACGCCGACGACAACGACGACGACGACAATGGGGCTCTCGTCTGAACTGCAGATGGGGCGCTCGTCTCTCGAGGGCCTCTGGAAGCTCCCGATGGGACCAGAAGCGCTCAGAAACTTGCCCCTTCCTCGTCGTCGTCGTCGTCGTCTTCCTCCTCCTCCTGCTTCTCCTGCTCCTCCTCTCGGGCAGGCCGCGGGAGCGAGCGCTCGGGGCGTCAGTAAGCGCGCTACGCAATAATGAGGCGGCAGCCCGCGATGACAGGCCGAGACCTCATGCTCCTCCGTAGGACGACGACGACGACGACGGCGGCGACGACGATTGGTCGCTTCCTGAATGCCTGGAGGGGTCCTGGACGCTTGTGGGGCTTCTGAGGTCCTTTCGAACCACCGTCCTGCGAACTACGGCCTCGTGGAGTGTAAGAGAACTGCTGGAAACTATATTGGAACGGTGTGGGCTCGCGTTTGAGCTCCTGGTGACTCTCCAGACCAGAGGCCTCCTTTCGGGGCTGTTTTGGGCCGTCTTGGAGCCCTCTTGGGCAGTCCCCGAACCCTCTTTTGGCCGTTTTGGGAGGCCGGGCCGGCCAGGGGCTTTTCGGGGGCCCTCTTGGCCCACTCTTGGGGGCCTCCTGTGGCTCTCCTCGGGCTCTCTTGGGAGTTCTCGGGGCCCTCTGGGGCCCCTCTTGGGCCGCCTTGGGCTTCTCTTGATCCGTCTTGGAGCTCTCCTGGGCCGCCTTGGGCCGCTCATAGAGGCCTCGGAGGCCGTCCTGGAGCGATCTTGAGAGTCTCTGGGCATGCCGTGGACGCTGTGAAAGCGGAAAAAGCTAATATCTTCAATAGCGTACGTTTCCTCAGGGAATGGGACGATTTTTGTCTCTTGGGGATCCCTTGTGGGGCTTCCTGGACCGTCTTGGGGACCTCGTGGGCCGTCTTGAAACCATAGCGGGTCCTCTCTGAGCGCCGATGGGCCGTCTTGGGGCCCGTTTTGGGCCCGTGGGCTCCGATCGGCAGGGGCGTCCAACTGCCCAGAAGGCCGCCGGGACTCCGAAAGGGCGTCCAGGGCGTTCGTTGGGTGGAAGACAGGGGCGTCTGGTGTGTCCCGGGTGGTGGTGGTGGTCCGGTTTCGGGGGGTGGGTGGGTGGGGGGTTCCGGGTAAAAAGGTCATAAGAATAGGAATATCCCGGGGGACGTGGCCTGGGGGGTCCCGCCCAGGGACCTCGGCGGCGCATGGGGGGCCCAGGGCCTTGCTTTCCCTGTGTTTTGACAGGTCTTCGGCGACCCAGAGCCAACAGAGCCCCAAGAGGTTGCAGGGAGCTCCAGGGGCTACTCCCTCCTGGTGCCAGAGGCTTCCCACAGGCCTCCCAGAGGCCTCCAGGAGAGCTCCCCAAAGCTCAAACATTTTCTTTTCCCATAGTTTTTTCAACGTTTTTCTCCATGCACCCTGGTCTGCATCCCCACGCTGCACGGCAGCCCCAGAGCACGCCCAGACCGTCCCGGTTCGGCCTCAGAGGCTCCCAACCTTGTCCCAAGATGGCTCCGCATGGGAGGATCGGCGCGAACTTTCCCTTTGCCCCGAGAGGTTGCAAGGAGCTCCAGAGGCTGCTCCCGCCTGGTGCCCCAGGTTTCCCACGGGCCTCCCAGAGACCTCCAGAAGAGCTCCTTAAAGCTCAAACATTTTTTTCCCACCTTTTTTCAACGTTTTTCTCCATGCACCCTGGTCTGCATCCCCACGCTGCACGGCAGCCCCAGAGCACGCCCAGACCGTCCCGGTTCGGCCTCAGAGGCTCCCAACCTTGTCCCAAGATGGCTCCGCATGGGAGGATCGGCGCGCACTTTCCCTTTGCCCCAAGAGGTTGCAAGGAGCTCCAGAGGCTGCTCCCGCCTGGTGCCCCAGGTCTCCCACGGGCCTCCCAGTACCTCCAGGAGAGCCCCCCCGAACTCAAACATTTTAGGGTCCCGCCCAGGGGCTTCGGCGGCGCATGGGGAGCCCAGGGTCTTACTTTCCTTGTGCTTTGACAAGATTTCGGCGCCCCAGAGCCATCATAGCCCCAAGAGGTTGCAGGGAACTCCAGAGGCTGCTCCCGCCTGGTGCCAGACACTTCCCACAGGCCTCCCAGAGGCCTCCAGGAGAGCTCCCCAAAACTCAAACACTTTCTTTTCCCATGGGGTTCTCCACGGTTTTTCTCCGTGCGACCTGTTCTGCATCCCCACGCCGCACGGCAGCCCCAGAGAACGCCCAAACCGTCTCGGTTCGGCCCTAAAGGCTCCCAATTTCTCAATGTTTCTTGCAGGTCTCTGGCTTTCCCGCTTATTCAGCTTCCCGACTCTCATTGCTCCACAAGGAGGGCTCCCAAACCGCCCACTGCGGCGCCTGAGGCTCCCAACGCTGCCTTTAGACGGCCGAAGAAGGCACCCAGGGGGGCCCAGGAGTACCCTGAGGCAGCTGAAGCTGGGCCCGGCACAGCCCAACTGGCCGACAAAACGGTTCCAGACACTTCCACAAGGCCTCCGCTGCGGCCCCGCTGCGGCCGTGCGCGGCAAAGCGCGCGGCGGAGCTCGCGGAAACTCCAGCTGTTCCTCTTCATACTCCTTTTTCTCTCCCCTGCTCCAGCTCCTCATTCTGCTCACGCTGCTGCTGGTGCTGCTGCTGCGCACTTTTTTTCTCCTCCACCTCCTCATCCTCCTTCCGCCCCTCCCCTCACTTCCCCACCGCCGTTTCTCCTCCTCCTCCTCCGCCTCCCCCTCCTGCCGGCAGCGCCGTACGAGAAATCCAAGGCTCCAGCAGGGACGGCCGTCAGGACCCTGTGGAACGAGATCCGCTGTCGATGGCACAGCTTGCCGTTGCACCCTTTGGAGCCATGATGCCGTGACTAGAACTTAGGCGCGCGCGTAGCGCGCGCGTGGTTCTTGTATATGTATGTATGTATGCATGACTGAATGTATGTATGCGTGTATGTATGTATGTATGTATGTATGTATGTATGTATGTATGTATGTATGTATGTATGTATGTATATATGTATGTATGTATGTATGTATGTATGTATGTATGTATGTATGTATGTATGTATGTATGTATGTATGTATGTATGTATGTATATATGTATGCATGCATGCATGCATGCATGTACATATGTATGTATGTATGTATGTTTTAATGTAGGTGTGTATATATGCATGCATGCATGTATGTATGTATGCGTGTGTGCATATATATATATATATACATGTATATATGTATATATATGTATACATATATGTATGTTTATACACATTTGTACATACAATTTGGGACGAAACGGGAGCTGAGGCGTTCGAGCTGCTGTCCGCAGAAGGCCCATGCTGCGCGCCTGTCTTTCATGCTTTTCAGGACGCTAAGGATTGTAGAGGCCTGAAGGGTGTTGGGAGACCACCGATGACTTTCTTACCTTTCCTGGTTCTCTTCTCTTTCCTCCTCCCTCGTCGCATTTCTCGCCCTTTCCTCTTTGCTCTCTGCCCCCCATCGACGTTCCTCTTCTGCGTGTTTTCCCTTGCAGGGGGCGTTTTTCTATGCATCTCCCTCTCCTACCCACCCCTTGACGAAGGAAATGGAGCAGTGTGGAGAGGGGCACGGGCTTGCGTCCAGCCGCGGCGCAGCGCAAGCTAGCCCCTGAGACCCTAGGAAAGCGTGCGCCAAGAAGCGGTGCCGTTTTGCCCTGGATGCGCCAGGGCCGACCCATCGCTACGACCCGTTCTTGCGCTTGCGCTCCCGGAGCCGCCTGGCTTGTCGGCCGCGGGCAGCGGGAGCACGAGTGCGATCTGCATCGGCTGCAAGGGGACGTCGTCTGCCGTGCCAGACGAGTGCGTGCAGAGGTCACTGGCAATCTGCTCCAGCTGCCGGTCCTGCTGCTGCTAATCCTGCTCCTCGGGTTCTTCGGGCCTCGCCGCCCGTACCTCCATCGCGCGGAGGGGATGTCCGACATTGGCCAGGCTAAGCCAGGTTACGGTCCACCCCTCCCTGGGCTGGCGCCCGATCCGTGAGGCTGATCATGAGATCGCACGGGTGATTAGTCGTGCTGCCGTGGGGCTAATGGCTTGTGGGGAGAGGCCTGATTTCCACAGTGAACTGTTGGAACTAGGATGATGGGAGCACGTGCGTTCACAGACGGCTGGTGCTATGAGTACTCTTCCCGACGTTGCTGACGTGATTTTTCGCGCTACTTCACGCCAGGGCTTGACGCGACCCTTGCACCGTAAGGGCGGCTGGGGCTGCCCACATTCGTGCTGCATCAGTTTACGAGCTGTCCCTGAAACCATGTTACCTGACGGGCGCGCTCTGCCCCTTAACCCAGCGCCCTTGTCCGAGGGCACATCTGTGCACGCGTCCTCATCACACAACGGTCGCACAACGGTTATACTTTTGCTCATCATTCAACGGCCCGCTCTTTGCCCAGTGGACGCGCCATCCTGTCACTGTCGCTGTTGAAGTTGCTGTCACTGTCGCCACCGCTGCTGTTGCCATGGCTGTCACTGCTATCCCCTCTGTTTTCAATGATGTTGCCGCGTCCATGTTGCGGCTGCCGCCACCACGGCCCCTGACGCCACTGCTGCTGTCACGGCTTTTGCTGCTGCCGCCGCTTATGGCTGCACTGTGTGATTCACCCTCGGGAAACAATTACGCATTGGTCGCCATGGGCATGGGAACGGTTATGGAGGGGCTCCGTGTTACATGTTTTCTGTGCGGCCTTCTGAATCTTCGTGTGGGAGTTGCCTCCTTGGTGGCATTATCCAGCTGCCTGCGACAAGTCCTTCTCCCGTGCCAGTGCAGCAGTGAGGTGACGCTTCGATCATTCCCCAGAAGACCGTAACGTGTGACGCATCTCGTCTCTATTCCTTCAGGGGCTCTCGAAGGGGCTACCTGTGCCGTCTTGGGTCCGTCTTGCGCTCCTGTGGGGCCCTCTTGGGCCGTCTTGGACTTTCTTGGGCCGTCTTGGTGCCGTCTTGGGCCGTCTTGAGCCCCTCTCGGCTACCTAGGAAGTCTCTTGGGGCTGGGCTGCCGGGGGGGGGCGTCTTGGGGCCTTCTTGGGTCTTTTTGGGGGTCTCTTGGGCTGCACTGGGCCCTTCTGGGGCCGTCTTGATGCTTTCTTGGTGCTGTCCTGGGCCGCCTTGGGGTCTTCTTGAGGACCCTGTAGCTCCTCACCTTTTGGAGCCATCTGCAGCCGAGAGGCCCAGGACACCCAGCAGATTTACGTGTCAAGTACGAAAAGATCGTCTGAGATTTGTGAATGGTTCGGGCCTCCTGGAACGGCCTTCTTGAGGGATCTTGACGGCCTTGGTGGCCTTTCTGGACCTTTGTGGAAGCCTCGGAGAGACATGGAGAGCCACAGAGAAGCTTCGGGCCGCCCAGGGCGCCATGGAGAGTCATAGAGAGCCTCAGAGAAGGCATGGATATCTGTAGAGGGATGTCTATATCGAAGTCGCCACGGCGAATCAAGGCCGCCCCCTGCCTTATGGAATCGCCGGTGTGGCCGAGCGCTGTGACAAGAGCTCTGCCAAGCTATCGGACCATATGTTCCCCCAGCCGTTGTGGAAACCCTTCGGGGAATACCTGGGGGAGGATGGCGGGGAAGATCAGGATGAGGAGGAGGAGGAGGAAGAGGAAGAGGAAGAGGAGGAGGAGGAGGAGGAGGAGGAGGAGGAGGAGGAGGAGGAGGAGGAGGAGGAGGAGGAGGGAGGAGGAGGAGGAGGAGGAGGAGGAGGAGGAATAATGATAAAGATAATAGTAAGAATAAGGATAATACTACCAGTACTAAGAATAATAAGAATAGCAATTATAATAATAATAAGAAGAACACTAAGCATGATAATAGTAAAATAATAATAAGCATAACACTAATAACAATAATAATAATAAGACGAATAATAATACCAATACTAAGAATACAAATAATACCAATGTTAATAATAAGACGATTAATATTAGTAATACGAATAAGAAGAACAATACTATTACGAATACTAATATTATTATTAATAGTTATACTGTTAATAATAAGAATATAATAACAATCAGAAGAAAAGCAATAATAATACTAAGAAGAAGCATACGAACAATAACAATACTAATAATAATACGAAGAAGAATGCGAATAATACGAATAGTAATAATAATAGTAATAATAATACTACTACTACTAATAATAATAATACTAATAATAATGATATAATAATAATACTAAGAATAAGAAGAGGAGGAGGAGGAGGAGGAGGAGGAGGAGGAGGAGGAGGAGGAGGAGAGGAGGAGGAGGAGGAGGAGGAGGAGGAGGAGGAGGAGGAGGATGAGGAGGAGGAGGATGATGAGGGGGGGGACAAGGAGGAGGAGGAGGAGGAGGATGAGGGAGCGGCAGGGGGAGAAAGATGATGATGAGTAGGAGGAGGAGGAGGCATCTAGGGAACCTCTGGGGCCACTCTTGGGTCCTTTGGGTGACTTTTTGGGAGCCTCTTGGAGCCATCTTGGGGGCCGCCTTGGGCCTGCTGGGGGCCTGCGGGGGCTTCTCGGGGGCTTCTTTGGTAGCCTTAGGGCTTTCCTGGCCCGTCTGACGCCGTCCGTCTTGGGTGCCTTTCTGGGCCGATTTGGGGCCCTCTTGGGGTGCTCCAGGGCCGTCTTGGAGGCCACCCTGGGCGTCTTGGACGCATCCTGGGCTGTCTTGGCGCCCTCTGGGGTCGTCTTGGAGGTCTCTTGAGCCGTTCTGGGGCCATCTTGGAGGTCTCTTGGGCGATCTTGGGGAGATTTTTGGGGGCTCGTGGGCCGCCTCGGGCCGTCGGAAGGCCGAACATACGCACATGCCAACCACATAAGGACAATCACGGATTTTGGTCTCCGCCTTCTTGGAGGCCCTCTTGGAGGCCTCTTGGGCCGTCTTGGGGGCCTCTTGGGCCGTCTTGGGCCATCTTGGAGTCATCTTGGGCCGTCTTGGTGTGCTCCTGGCCCGCCTGTCTCCGTCGGACGCCGTCTTGGGGGCCTCTCTGGGCCGACTTGGGGCCCTCTTGGGGTGCTCCAGGGCTGTCTTGGAGGCCATCTCGGACGTCTTGGAGGCCTCTTGGGCCGTCTTGGGGCCTTCTTGGGGCCGTCTTGGGGTTCTGTTGGGTCGCCATGAGGCCATTTTGGAGGCCTCTTGGGCGATCCTGGGGCGATCTTTGGGGGCTCTTGGGCCGCCTCGTGCCGTCGGAAGGCAGAGCAGAAGCACATGCCCGAATCCTTCAAACGCTTGAGGAACATCGATGATTTGGTCTCTTCGGGCCTTGCTGGAGGCCTCTTGGGCCGTCTTGGGCCACCTTAGAGCCAGCTTGGGCCGTCTTGGTGGGCTCCTGGCCCGTCTGACGCCGTCGGAAGCCGTCTCGGGGGCCTCTCAGGGTCGACTGAGGGCCCTCTCGGGGTGCTCCAGGGCCGTCTTGGAGGCCATCTTGGGCGCCTTGGAGGCTCCTTGGACCGTCTTGGGGCCTTCTTTGGGCCGTCTTGGGGCTGTCTTGGGGGCCTCTTGAGCCGTTCTGGGGATGTGGCCTTTATCCGACACTCAGGTTCGAGTGTACCTCTCGGGCGGAAGATAGTCACATTGGGTAGTGCTACCTTGAGCCAGATAGCGCTGGACGTATGCAAAACGCTCGCTATGCCCACCTTTGCCCCTTTGGCCCCCTTCAACGTCAGGAGGGCCCTCTTGGGGGTCTCTTGCCGTCTTGGAGACCTCCTGGGGCCCTCTTGGGCCGTCTTGGGGCATCTGGGAGCCAGCTTGGGCCGTCTTGATGGCCTCCTGGCCTGTCTGACGCCTTGGGGTGCTCCAGGGCCGTCTTGGAGTCCATATCGGACGTCTTGGAGGCCTCTTGGGCCGTCTTGGGGTCTTCTTGGGGCCGTCTTGGATGCCACTTGGGCCTTCATGGGGCCCTCTTGGGGGCCTCTTGGGCGATCTCTTTGGGGGCTCTTGAAGGCCGAGAAGAAACACATGTCCAAATCCTTCAAACACCTGGGGAACATCGATTATTTTGGCCTCTTCGGGCCTTCCTGGAGGCCTCTTGGGCCGTCTTGGGCCATCTTAGAGCCATCTTGGGCCGTCTTGGTGGGCTCCTGGCCCGTCTAACGCCGTCTGAAGCCGTCTCGGGGGCCTCTCAGGGCCGACTTGGGGCCCTCTTGGGGTGCTCCAGGGTCGTGCCATCTTGCGCGTCTTGGAGGCCTCTTGTGCCGTCTTGGTGTGCTCCTGGCCCGCCTGACTCCGTCGGACGCCGTCTTGGGGGCCTCTTTGGGCCGACTTGGGGCCCCCTTGGGGTGCTCCAGGGCTGTCTTGGAGGCCATCTCGGACGTCTT